CTATGCAAGCCCTTTGACCTAGCAATACCACTACTAAGACTGCATCCCAAAAGAGATAAAAAACAAAAAGGAAAAGGATGAGTATGTACAAAAAATATTTATAGCAGCTCTTTTCTGGAGGCAAAGAATTCGAAATTGAGGGGATGCCAGTCAGTTGAGGAATGGCTGAACAAACTGTGGTATAATGGAATGCTATCTTACTATAAGAAACAGTGAGCAAGAAGCTTTCAGAAAACCTGGAAAGACTTACATAAGCTGATGAAACGTACTATGTACAAAGTAACAGCAACATTGTAAAATGATCAGCTATGAGTGACTTAGCTCTTCTCAGCAATAAAAGGATGCAAGACAACTCTGAAGGACTTAGGATGAAAAATGCTATCCATCCCCAGAGAAAGAACTAATGGTATCTGAATACAGATTGAAGCAACTTTTTTTACTTTATTTTTCTTGAGTTTTTTGTCCATATTCTCTTTCACAACATGACTATTATGGAAATGTTTTTGCATGCCTACAGATGTATAACCTATACTGAATCCCTTGCCTTTTCGATGACAGGGGGTAGAGAAGGAGAAAGTGAGAGAATCTGGTACTCAAAGTTTCAAAAACAAATGTTAAAAATTGTTTTTACGTACAACTGGGGAAAAATTAAAATACTTTCAAAAAGTTAGGTTTGCAAAGTAAAAAATAAAAATAAATCAATAAAAAGAGAGACCTTGGAGGAAAAAAAAAAAAAGACAACTTCCAGGGTCTTTAGTGACTTAGACCCACATCAGCAGGCAGATTGTCCAAACTGTGCCTAAACGATTACTCCACTAGTAAGAGCCTTAAAGAGACATTTCTTCACATGCATTTTCCTCATGCTCACCTAGTGCACCTAGGGGAGAGTTTTTCTTCCAAAGGCACAATGTGCTTCTTCCACTGACACAGCAGGTAATACTTACCCTAGTTTTAGGGGAGAACATCTGGGTGTGGCTTTCAAAATTCAGATGAACCAGTTTGGATCTACTTTCTTCATTCAGGTGACACCTTTCCTTTAACTCAGAGCACATGGAATTTAACCTCCTAGGTAATGGCTGAACTTGAACTCAGGGATAAGAGTAAGATAGGAGGCAGGGGAATAGCTGTACCAATCGTAAAGCAGCTGGAGCAGAATTTTGAGGCATTGACCAAAGAACAGGGACAAATTTAGGTGTTTGTCAGGAAACACCAGCAAGCTTCTGTGACTTTGAAGACTCAGGGGTCAATGTTAGCATCTAGAGAAATTCAGGGGTAATCCTTGGGAGTTCAGCAGGCACAGCTGGGCCAAACGCTAGTGATTCAAAGAGCAGAGATGGGCTTCTATAGATAAAAGAAATTATCAGAGGTAGACTTCTAAGGCCACCCAGAAACCATGACTGATTTGTGTTAATTTGTTGTTGTTATTCAGTCCTGTCTGACTCTCTGTGACCCTGTGTGGGGTTTTCTTGGCAAAGATAGTCGTGTGCTTTGCCATTGCCTTCTCCAGCTCTTTAACCAAGGATGTCCATCACCACCTGGAGACAAGGCTCATGATGGTCCCAATAAGGGCAATTATGAGGTGAGGTATGTTGTACTTTCAATCTCACCATCGGGTAGCAAAAAAAGGACCAACTTCACCAGTAAAGGACAGGCTGAAAAGAGTCATATCTAAGGCTAGAGATGCAGTAGGTCAGAAAAAACAGAATACAGGTGAGATATACATTGGTCACAGTAGAGCTGGAGCCTGGGATTGAGTCAAAGTCAAAATGGAACCATTTCCCAGCAGCAAAGAGCAGAGCCAAGGGGCAGCTAGGTGGTGCAGTGGATAGAGCACCTGCCCTGAAGTCAGGAGGACCTGAATTCAAATCCAGCCTCAGACCAAACACTTGACACTCACTAGCACTCTGACCCTGGGCAAGTCACTTAACCCTAATCGCCAAAAAAAAAAAAAAAATCAGAGTCAAGCAAAAGATTGGAAAAAAAATTAGATGAATAAAATCAGAAAGTAAATTTGAACCCTGAAAGAGATTTGAAAAGAACTTTCCTGGCATTCTTTTTCCTTATGGAGGTGCCCACAGAGTCCATTGGGACCCTTTAAATCCCATTCTCCAAGCAAGTTTTTGAAATATTAGCCTCATCTCTGCTACACTTCAGTCCAAGAAGAAAATTAGGAACCTATTTAGTTGGTTAATTAGGCAGTAGAGATAAGGAACACAGGAATGGGAAGTGGGAAACATGAATGAAGGACTGGGACAAGGAAATGGAAAAATAAAAGGCAGAATCCAGAAAGAAATCAACATGATGCCAGGAGCACAAGGGCAGCATTATACAGTGCCAGAGGACTGATGACTGGCTCAACTAGGAACTTGTGTATGTCCTGCTGGGAACAAGAAGTGATCTCAAACTGCAAGTAGAATTCAGCTTAGGAGGATAAAAGAGAACATTTATGTTCGGTTGTTCTGTCTGTAAAAGGAAATGAGTTAAAATGAGTAGATTGTATGTAACAGATTTGAGGCCCAGAGGAAGCAGAGAGACCTGTGATTTCATCAGGGTAGGGCAATGTTGTCAAACTCAAATAGAAACTGTATCTTTGCTGGCGGCATATTGATTTTTTTCTTTATTTTTTTCTTTTCTTACCTTTTTTTTTGGTTGGGCAACGGTGGTTAAGTGACTTGCCCAGGGTCACACAGCTAATAATCGTTATGTGTCTGATGCCAGATTTGAACTCAGGTCCTCCTGCATCCAGGGCCAGTGCTCTATCCACTGTACCACCTAGCTGCCCCTGGCATATTGATTTAGAAAACCACAAATCAACATTACCTATATTTTCTTGTATTTTTGTTAAACATTGCTCAATTACATTTTAATCTGGTTCAGGCAACATTTGGAAGGGGCCACAAGTTTGACACCTCTGATAAAGGGGATTCCTCTTGGAGAAACTTCCTCCATTAAATTGGAAACTTGAGTTAAAAAAAAGCCACTCCTACGCCCAAAGAGCAACATCAGATGGTCACAAGCCCAAAAAGCATTACAAATCAAGTAAGAAAGACAGAAGAAAAAATTGGGAAAAAAATAAAAGCAATCCAAGAAAATTATGGGGGGGGGGAATTAACCAATTAGAAAAAGATACAAAATCTTAAGGAAGAAAATAACTGCTTGAAAACTAGAATTGGGCAAGAGGAATCAAATGATGTTATAAAAGAGCAAGATATCATAAAACTGGAAAAAAATAGAAGAGAATCTGAAGCATCTCACTAGAAAAACAACTGATTTGGAGAACAGACTGAGGAGAGACCATATAAGAATTGTCAGATTACCTGAAAGTTATGATCAAAAAAAGAATCTGGAGAGAATATTACAAGAAATTTTTAAGGAAAATCGCCCTGAACTTCCAGAACAAGAAGGGAAAGCAGAAAAAGACAAAAAAATCTACCTACAGGAATATCATAGCCAAGTTTCAATACTCCCAGTTAAGGAGAAAACATTACAAGCAAGAAGAAAAAAAACAATTTAAATACTGTGGAAAGACATTTGGGATTTCACAAGACCTAACAGTTTCTACTCTAAAAGATCATAGGTTTGGGAACATTATATATATGTATATATGTGTGTGTGTGTGTGTGTGTGTGTGTGTGTGTGTGTGTGTGTGTGTGTGTGCGTACACACACACACATATGAAAATGTTATCACTATTCTTAAAACTGTCATCATTATTAAGGTAGTTTAAAAGAAAGTTTGGGGCTGAGTTGTGTATGATGGAGTGATTCTAAAAAACAAAATTGGGTAGGAAACAGTAAAAGGGAGCAATTATATTATCAAAATGGGGCATGAAAGGAAGAACTAATATAGAAGAAACAAGTCGGGGTGGAGGGCTGGTAACATGGCAATCTTACTCTCATCTGAGTTGAAGAGGAAACTACAGGTACATCTAAAAGGGTATAAAATTCTTCTGAACATGTAGAAAGGTGAAAACCCTGAGGGATAGGTTGGGAGAGGGATTTTAGAGGGGTGTGTATATTGGGATTTGGGAAGGGTGGGTACTATAGGGAGTGGAAGGGTGGGGGGAGAAAATAAAGTAACAGGGATAGGGTAAAAAGAGAGGCTGAAAAAGAAAAGAGTGAGTAAAAATAAGATGGAGGGAAATTCACAAATATCAATTATAAATTTGAATGTGAAAGGGATATTTATGGCAGTTCTCTTAGTCGTGGCAATGAAATGGAAATTGCAGCCATCCCCATCAACTGGGGAATGGCTGAACAAGTTGTGGTGTATGGTTATAATGGAATACTACAATGATCTTAGGCATGGAAAGACTTGAATGAAATGGTGGAGAGCAAAGTGAGCAGAACCAAGAGAACATTGTATACAGTAACAGCAATATTGTTTTGAGAATGTCTTTGAGGTACTAAGTAATTTTGATTATATAAATACACAAATTAAAAATAAAAATCCTATGAAGATGCTAGCTACATCCAGATGAAAAACTGATGAATAGAAGTCTATATAGATTACATCTGTGTGTGTGTGTGTGTGTGAGTGAGCGTGTGAGTGTATGTGTCTAATGGTGGCCATCTCTAGGGTGGGATGGGGGAATGGAAGAAAAAAGGTGCAAAAAAGGATATTTGCATGGTAACTTTATTATAAATCTAAATAGATTTCCAGTTTCACATGCAATTATCTATTAATTATACTGTTATGAAAATGCTTGTCTTATTCCATAAATTGAAAATGAAATAATTTTTCAAATTAGTAACTTACAGTATTACAGAGTTGCCTGAGGCCCTGAAAGGTTAAGTGACTGACATACCTCTACGTCTAGTACATTAGAGACAAGACTGGAGCCTAGGTGTTCCTGATTCCAGGACCAGTCTTCTATCCAGGAAGTCACACTGTATATCAACAACAATTAGCAATAGAAACAAAGTATTGAACTAAGGACAAATAACTAAAGGCTACTCAGGTTTCCCTGGGCCCTTTGCCACATCAATCTCAGTAGTCTCTTATTGCTTAAAGAAGAATGTAATCCTTTTCACTGAGTCCTTAAGAGCTTGTATCACTTGCTGGTTCCTCAAAGTATATATAAAAGGGTTGACACTGGGGATGACAGAAACTGTGAACATGGCTACCACCTTATTCAAAGGCACTCCATCAGTAGTGGACAGTTTGATGTATTGGAAGATGCAGCTGCCATAAGACATAGAGACAACAATGATGTGGGAGGAACAGGTGGAAAAGGCCTTTTTCCTTTGCTGCACTGATGGGAATCTCAGAACGGTCCTGATGATGTATCCATAGGACAGAAACACTAAGAGTAAGGTGATAATGAGTGTAAACACAGCAACGAAGAGAATCATCTTTTCTATGAGTGTTGTGTCTGAGCACACGATCTCCAGCACGGGAAATGCATCACAGCCAAAATGGTCAATGACATTGTAGTCACAGAATTCCAACTGGACAGCCAGGCTGAGTGGTAGGGAAATGATCATCAGCCCAGTCAGACAACAACCCAAGAGGAGCTGGTTACAGACTCCGTTGTTCATGATGCTTGTGTAATGCAAAGGTTTGCAGATGGCCACATAGCGGTCATAGGACATAATGGCCAAAAGGAAAAAGTCTGTTGCCCCAAAAAGGGTGATAAAAAATATTTGGGTGAAGCAAGCATTACGGGAAATGGTATTGTCCCCAGTTGACATGCTGTAGAGATATTTAGGAATGTAAGTATTTGTGATTGAGAATTCCAAAAAGGAAAGATTTCGAAGGAAAAAGTACATGGGGGTCTTAAGGTGGGGATCCAACAAGGTGAGGGTAATGATGGTGAGATTGCCAATTACACTCAGCATGTAGGACAGAAACATGAAAATAAAAATCAGGATCTGCAGCTGTGGGTCATCTGTCATTCCCCTTAGGATGAATAATGTTATCCTTGTGTGGTTTTGCATCTCTGACTTATGATTTCTGGTTGACCTGTATGTACAAGAAAGAAATTAAAACAGAACTAGAAGGTGACAAATTAGTAAAGTGAGTAAAGAAAAAGGAAACTAGTTGCTTACATTTTTTTTAATAATTCCAATATTAGCATTACTCCTTTGAATTGTATACCAGGGAAAAGGCAAGGCACTTTTTTCCCAGAATCAGACAATCTCAGTTTTGGAAGAATGCATAGATTTCATCTATTCTGAGGCGCACCTGAACAGGATTTTTTTTTAAGCAATTGGAGTTAAGTGACTTGCCCAGCTAGTAAGTCTCATGTGTTTGGTCTCAGGCTGGATTTGAACTCAGGTCCTCCTGACTTCAGGGCCAGTGCTCTACACACTGCACCACCTAGCTGTCCCTCAGGAATTCTTATTAGAGCCTCTCTGACAAGTGTTTATCTATCCTTCTCTTCAGTGGTAAGAATTCAACTGCCTCCTGAGACAGTGAAGTCCACTTCCTATGACCTACAGCCATTTAGAAGTAGACAGCCACTCCTTCTTCCCATCACTTAGAGGTGCCCCAAAGTGGACTGCTTCTTCAAATATTCTGTTCCTTTTTCCTGGAAGGGAAATCAGGACTTGTTGGGGATAGTATAGAAGAGATTGCTATTTAGACATACATTGAACTGGATGATCTCTGATTTCCCTTCCTACCAGAAATGAGTCAATTAAATTTGCAGTGTGAACATTTATTTATACCTCAGAAATCTGCAAACACTACAAATCAGAGCTTGGTTTATTGCATTAACTGGCTAGATTGAAGAAAGTGATAGAGAAAATATTATTAATGCAGTTTAAACTTCAAAATGTAGTAAGTTGGGCCAGCAAGGTAACCCAGTGGATACAGCACCAGCTTTGGAGTTAGGAGGACCTCAAATCCAGGCTCAGACACTTGACTCTTACTAGCTGTTGTTACTCTGGGGAAGTCACTTAGCCCTAATTGCCCCCATCAAAAAAAAAAAAAAGAAAAAGAAAAAGTGTATCATGTTCCAGAGATTATTATATGTTTACTGCCATACTCCAGTAACTCTATGATTCAGTATCCATTATTATTAAATGCTTGGTGGTATGTTTCTCTGATAAAGAGAAAGAGGATTGAGATGACTACCTCATGGAGCATTATTTTTCTGTACTAGACAATGAAATGTGGGGAACTATTCTTATCGCTGATGCAGACAGATATTCATTTGAGATTGTTGTATAAAAAAGATGGACCTCTTTTGTACTTTGTAAAATTTGGATAATATGTGTGTCTGATTGCAAATAGAAACAAATTCTTTGACCCACATTAGTAAAATAAAACCCTGCTGTCTGAACCCTCTCAGAACCTAGTCCTCATTATGGTTCTTAGGACCAAAGTATGAATGCCATGCTCTTAAGAAAGGCTGTTCTTGGATAAGTGACTCCAGGTTTTGTACTCCTCTGAAGGCATGTTCACATGACATTTTCCCTCCTCATTTAGGGATCATTAAGGCTTTCCCAGTCCCATAGCCCTCTGGAGTGGACTGTTTTGCTGAATAACCCTCTGATCACGTGCTTATCAATTACTCTGTTGGAGTGATTTGCTATTTGCTCCTGTGCTGGTGGGTTCTCATAAGCTCTGTTAAAGAACATGTGCATATCTCTGATTCTCACATTTTCCTAATCCCACATATCAATATTTCTGAAAGCTCGATGATGAAGCATTTCTACTGAAAGCATAATCATTATTAAAAAGTCATCTAAATCTCTCTTTCCAAAACAATTCTGCTTCCTACCCTAAGTTCTGTGATTCAGTGAATCTGTGGTTTGTGTTTGTTTGTTTTTTTAATGAGTCTTCCTATCTCACCCAGGCTAAAATTACCACCACCTCTGATGGATCCTTATTCCAGGGCTGATCAACATGTAAACTTTCACTCTGCTCTGTTTCTGACCAAGAAAAGCTGATCTAGGTGATTTCTCCTCAGGCAGCCTGGTGTCCTCCTTGCTCCTGGGGGCTCATCATACTATGCCAGACTTAGTGAGGACACCCAATTGAATCTAGCCTCACTTTAACTCAGCACTCATGACCCTCAAGGAATCCACTGGCCTCAGCGTCCCCCAACAGCGGGGATTACAGGCAGGTACCATCACATCTGGCATTCTGTGGGTTTTTGACACTTCTCGTGCCTAGGCAGATTTTTATTAGGTTGTGCTAAAATTTCTCTCTCTGCTACTTCCATCCATTACACTTACTAGAATAAAGACTAATAGCATCTCCTCTATACTAGTACTTTCCTTGTCCTATATGAAAACTAAGTATGCTCCAAATTCACCAAGGAAACAAAGACTATGAAAACATGCAAATAACAAAAACTGACATTTACATAGGCTCAAAAGGCACTTTCCATAAAGTATTTCATTTAATTAATTAAATTTCTTTGCCTACTGTTTTAGGGCAAAGAAAGTTATTCTGGTGGTTTGTTTCTTCAAAGGTTTTGGATGTCTGGTGGCAAAACTCAGAATTTTCTTTTTCCAAGAGGTTTTTTAAGTCATATGCCTCACATTCCAATGCTCTGTTTGGGGAAGAAGCAAGCCTAGTTGCTCCTCAAAAATTACTAGTTAATTAAATTGGGAGCTATCCAGATATTTTCAAACACTTAAATATATCCATCTATAATAATGTTCTACTTGGATTGCATAGTCCCTCCATATGCTGGGAATAAGTTCATCTCAGGAGACCTCAATTAGTTAAGAAAATGGATTATACTTGATCATTTTAAAACATTTCCCCCAACGAGCCCTTGAGAGAGTTTTTGCTAAGAATAGAGAAAGAGCAATATTGTCTCTCCACTAAGAAGTTTGTTGCAAGCTTCCAAATGTGCTTGATTCATATTATTGAGTGTTTACAGACAATATCACAGGTCAGGGACACTGACCTCAGTATGGGAAATCTCTGATTATTGGATAGGTCAGGTACTCAAGGCTCAGATATGGAATGCCTAACCAATAAAACTTATGGGCTAGCCATAAGTCATCTCCTTTTTGTAATCCCTATCCCCAAGGAATCAAGGGTCCTCTTATTTCCCAGCTCTGCCTTCCCTAGCCAGTGTGCCAAACTCTACAATTCCCTTCTCCTTCATCAGCATTCCTGTTCCCTCAATGCTCTGTTACCTGTTCATGACAGCTGAAATCATTTCTGTGCCTTCCAATGCTCTGGTAATCCTCTCATGAGTATTTGAATTGTAAGTAAAGAGCTTTCTGGACTCTCCAATTTCATACTTCCAGCTGCTCCAATTCCATACTTTATTTGCACCTCAATCTCACCATGCCCAAACCTGAACTCAACAGTGATTCCCAATAAACCTGCTCCTCCTCCTGTCAATGGCACCACGATCCTTATTTCAGAACCTCAAAATAATATTTGACTTCTCTTTCACTTCCTCCACCCCAAGTCAATCATTTGCTCAACACTGTTCATTCTACCCATATGACCTCTCCTGCATCCATTCTCTTCTTTCTAGTTACTTCCTGGACTAGGGATTCCTAAGCTGTTTTGTGACATACACCCATCTAAGTCTGGTAAAGCCTATGGAACTTTTATTAGAATGATGTTTCAAAATAACTAAAGATAATGCTTACTGTCAGTTAAAAAACAAAGACAGAATTTTTTCCCATCCAAGTTCACAGATGCCCAGATATATTTTGGATCCCAGGTTAAGAACCCTTTCACAAGGAAGACTAATTATCTTTAACCCCTTGAATTGAAATAGCCCATTAACTGGTCTCATCCCAAGTCTCTCCCTTTCCTTCCATCCATCTTACAACTGCTTAAATAAAACTTTCTAATGTAGTGTTCGCCAGGTTATTTTACTTCTCAGAAACTTTCAGTGTCTCACTCCTACCTACAGCACCAAGTACAAATTCCTTGGGCTGCAACTGAAGGCCTTCCACAATCTGGGTCCAGCCTGTTTTTCCAACCTCATTTCACATTTGTTCCCTTCAACCCTTCTGTGTTCCAGCTAATCTAGACTTCTACCCATTTCCCAAACTTAGCATACAATTTACCCACTCCTTTCACTCATAAAATGATCTGTCTCTTCATGGCTTACCTCAGGTGTCCTCTCACCTTTTATTTTCCCAAAGGACTTTCACAGAATTTCTCCTTTGTCTCCAATACACTCTACCATGTATTGCTAATTCAAAGATTTTTTATATATCTCTATCCACAAGGAACTATTCTATTCTCTATTCTCACGCAAGGAATATATGTGTGACAGGGGTTTTTAATCTGGGACTATGCATGTGTGTGTATGTGTGTTTTTTTAATATTTTGATAACTATTCCAATACCATTAGTTTCCTTTGTTAGCCTGTGTATTTTATTTTATGCATTTAAAAACGTAATTCTAAGAAGGAATTCATGGGGTGCACCAGACTACCAAAAGAGGACATGATGTAAAAAAGGCTAAGAAAACCTGGTTTATGACCACTACATTCCGTATTCCATAATGTAAGTTCCTTGTGAACAGGAATTATCTTTTTTTGAAACTTTACAACTCCAGCTACTAAATGCAGAGTGCCTCACACAATGTAAGCCTTTAATAAATGTTTGTTGAATTGAATTGAACTTCAGGAACAGCATAGTGTGAGCATGGAAAAAGAAGTTTGGGAACTAGAGATCTCCTGTACACTTCATAAAAGGCCAGGTAATCCCCATACACAAAAGTTGGCCCTCACAAAGCCACTGTCATCCAAGAGGAAAATTTGAGGACCAGGTGACCAGAAGAAGCAACACATCTTATATATGCTGATTCCCCTCATTGAAAAATCCAGTCATTTTCTAAGTTTAGGATTTGGGATAAGGGAGTGAGAGATCTCAGATCACTGTGCCTAGATATGAGGGAAAGAACAACATATGTTCTGTAACCACAGCCCCTACAAGGGAAAACATGATGTGACAAATCATTCTCATACTTACTTTTCTGGCTGTATTTCATTTTGTCAGTT